GAAGCCGAATCTGTTTGGCAATCTTGGGACCGGAACTTCGACCACGGGCACCAGCGGCTTTAGTGGATTTGGAACCCAACCTCAACAGCAACCGGGATCCAGCTTGTTTGGAGGAACACAACAACAGCAAAAACCAAGTCTTTTTACCCCCAGCACAGGCCAAACTGGTAGCTTGTTTGGTACTCAAGCAAGTGCAACTCCTGCCTCTACTGGTGGCTCTCTGTTCAATCTCGGTGGTACGAATCAGAACGCACAACAGCAAAATACCGGTGGATTAGGCTTGGGCTCGCTGGGTAGCGGCAGCATGTTCGGAACTCCACAGCAACAAACACAACAGCAGCCCCAGGCTACTGGCCTTCAAGCGTCGCTCCTGGAAGGCAATCCTTACGGAAACCAGTCAATCTTCTCTGGCCTGCCTGCACCGAATGCTCCCTCTCCAGGACCCTTAGCCACACCACTCTCCGCGAGTATCAAACAAAAGCAAAGAACACCACTGCCTATGTATAAAGTTTCTCCTCATGCTGCAAACCGCCTCATCACACCTCCCACTCGCCAAGGATACGGATTTTCGTATTCCACATATGGCACTCCTAGCAGCTCCATTGGTACACCAACTGGAACGAGCCTGTTAAGTAGAAGTTTTAATGGAGGAAGCTTGGGGCGGGGCTTCAGCAAGAGCCTTTCGGCAAGTAGCTTACGCCGATCCTTCGAGCCAGAAACGGATAGCATCCTGTCCCCGGGAGCATTTTCTCCGGGAAGCTCTCGATATTCAAGCTCGAACTTGAAGCGCTTGACAATCGACCGGAGTCTTAGAAATGACCTATTTGCACGGGCATCCCAGTCCCCGGCCACAATTACGAACGGCGATAGCACTCCACAGCAATCTAGCAAACTCAAGAAGAGAGTCAGCTTTGATTCTCCCATTGATAGCGAGGAACCAGCTGCGAAAACTGATGGAGCTCTTGTCCACGTGCAAAGCTCAACCCCGGAGCCAACACCGGAAGAATTGGGCTTCTTGCGGTCGGGTAAACAGAAGAGCACTGCCGCCGAATCGAATAAAGTGAGAGAGGTTGAGAATGTCAATGGCATCCCCGACGGTAAATCTTCCGCTAGCTCCAGCGACCAGCCTGAGATGGAACAGATCCGAGGAAATGAACTTGCCATCGTCCCTGAGGACCGTGAGCAAGAAGAAGTTGTTACACCAGAGAAGCCCGGACTGGTGAAAGTTCCGGAGAGAGACCCTCAGCCTGGAGAATATTGGATGAAACCATCCCGCCAAGAGATCAACAAAATGACGCGCGAGCAACAGAAACAGGTATCCAACTTTACTGTAGGTCGCAAAAATTGCGGCAGTGTTACGTTTAATAAGCCTGTTGACCTCACAACGGTTAATCTCGATGATGTGATGGACTCGATCGTCGTGATCGGATTACGTTCCATCACTGTATATCCTGAGGAAGGATCTAAGCCACCGCGAGGCAAAGGCTTAAACGTCCCGTCCACTTTGACAATTGAAAACTCTTGGCCACGAGGTCGCGACAAGAAGGCTCCTTCGCCACTGACGAGTGGACCACTCTTTGATAAACATATCGAGCGTTTGAAGCGCGTTACGAATACCGAATTTGTCGAATATCGGAAGGATAAGGGTATTTGGATTTTCAAAGTTCCACACTTTACCACTTACGGGCTTGATTATGATGATGACGATGAAGGTGAGAGTTTTGATCAAAGCACTATGAGTGCTCATCCTGACATGGTCACTCCAAAGGCTCAAATTCCCTCACATCATCTCGGCTCAGAATTTAATGATTCAACAATTAGCGTCGATGATTCGTTTGACGACTCAATGATCGGAGTCGAAGACGATACGTTCGAATTCAAAAAAAGAGGTTTAGTTCCTGGAGCCTTTACGAACCAGTCTGTTATTGGTAAATCTGTGTCCTTTGAGTCGGATGAAGAGCAAGAATCTTTTTTAGGGGAGGGCTCCGTGGGTTCGAATTCTGAAAATGGATATGTTGAAGAAAGTGATGGTCATGACACTGTCACATCAGAACTTGAATCAGACAGGGACGAGACGATGGATATGGCTGGTGCATTTCCTGTCCCTGACTATACCGCGGAGCAACCTACTCCAATCAGCCCCCAAAAATCAACTTTCGAACACTCGCGAATCGGGCATATGGATGACTTGAGTTTAAACTTGAGTGGAAATTGGGCAGAGCAGTTGCAGCGCACCATCAGTCCTCGGAAACAAGATCGACAAGCTCTGCGCGAAATCCAAAACAGTGTCTTTGCGGACAGAGACGGGAGTGATGACACCCCAAAGGCAAAACCCCAAGACAGCAAGGACAAAGGATTTGCTACAAGCATCGATCTTATGAACTCCCTTTTCCGACCGCGGCAGGCCAGTCCGCGAAAGCCTCAGGTGGCGAAAACTCAGGAAGGATTCGAGGTTTGACTCCTTTTTCTTTTCTTTTCCCTCTTTGTATTTAAGTCCCTTATTTGACACTATTTTGCGGCTGTACGTAATTGAGAAATTAAGGAACGCTGTACTAAGATATTCTCTCTTTTAGTGGCCATATGCCAAGAAGCCTAAAACTTTCGCCGGAAAACCCGGTGACATGCCGGAAGCTGATGCTAGCTTCCATTCCTCGTTTAAACCCAGATGGGCAAATTTGAATACACTTATTCTTAGCGGGGTTGCTTCGCCATCAATGCTTGATGCTCACGAACCAGAGATTATACTTTACAAGCTTGGAGATATGAAGGAGGTTTGTGCTTATGAGCGTAGTCACACCAGCACAAGTTTTACTAACAGTTTCGATTAGAACCAAGATGCCTTGCTCTTGCAAAAGGCTCGTTCAGTTATACAACTCATCGATGACGTCCCATCCGCTAGCTTGTCTGTCGCTGATTTCCTTGCTTTAATCGACGTTGTCCAGGAAGAATCACCGGAAGGCGAACTAGAACGACGGGTTTGGCAACTAGCATATATCCTTTTTAATGATGATATTGAGGATGACATATCGGCTGGAGTCCCGGAGCACTTCCGCAAGCAATATCTCCACCGCATCAAGAAAGATCGCCTCAGTCTACTGTGGGAGGATATCATCCGCCAAACTCATGGTGCCAATGTTGAGGCCAGTGCAACTGCAGAAGAACGAGCAATCAGATATCTCTGCCTCCATAGAGTTGAAGATGCGTGCAAGGCCCTCATCGAAGGTGGAAATCCCCACTTAGCAACGCTGATTTCTCAAGCTGGACGAGATGAAACTATTAGAAAGGACATGAAAGACCAAATTGAGTTCTGGCGGAACCAGAATGTACTCTCCGAAATGACTGAGCCTATTCGTGCGCTGTACGAACTCGTTGCCGGTAACTGTCTTCGTAGCGAGGGCAAACCAAATGCAGCCATCGAGGATCGGACATCGACTTTCAGCATCTCCGAACGGTTTGGTCTCGACTGGGTCCAAGCGTTTGGTCTCCGCTTGTGGTATGGTATCGGCGAAAGCGACTCTATTGAAGCCGCCGTGAGTCTGTTTCAACATGATATCTCCCATGGGAACGAGCCTGCGTATCCGACTTCGATCTTTGGGGACCGTCGGGAGCAGCCAGGGGCTGACTTACCTGAATCTCCTCTGTGGGTTATCTTGAAAATCTTTGCGGTTGCCAAATATAATGGAAAACATCCCGAAATTCAACCAATCTGCGTACCACGAGATATTATGCCTGAGGCCTTTTCTGCTCAGGGGCTACATAACCGACTCTCATTCCAACTATTCCATCATATCTGCAAGGTCGCACGTCAATACAACGCACTTGAAATCGATGAGCATCGTGCAGATCAACTTGCTCTTAATTATGCCTGGGAACTTGCTGCTTCGGAGGAATATGGCCCGGCGTTATTCGTTCTTCTATATCTCAATCGTGCCGTGGATCGTGAACGTAGTATTAAAGAGATGTTATGCCAATTTGCTGAGTTGCTCCCTGCACCAGTGCTAGAAGATGAAACAACGAGTGTTATGTGGAAATATCTGACTCAGGAACTCCGTCTTCCGACCCCCTGGATCTGGGCCGCGAAAGCACTCTTTGCACGGTCCGCAGGTGTAACACCTACAGAGGTTGGGTGTCTTCTTAATGCTAGGCATTGGGACGAAGCCCATGATACGTTCTGCAGGGTCGTTGCTCCGCGGCTCGTCATTGAGCGCGATTACGATACACTTAAATTGTTGCTCGATGTATTTGGCAAAACCCCAGAAAGAAGGATTCGTGGGTGGCCACAAGAAGGTGGATTGTATCGAGATTTCCTGGCTTTAGTGGATGTTCCAGGGATTCGGAAAGACCAGGCTGTGTTGAAAAGACTGACCAGCACACTGATACATGCGGGTGAAAAAATCGAGAAGAGCACAACAGTGCCTTTCGAGGAGAAAGTGGCGTTAAAGGAAATTGGTCGATTGGTCGCTGGGTGGTGCACGAATGACATTGGCAGTGTAAGTTTGATTTTGGCCTTCTAGTAGTCGCGTACGTCTCTTCTGGATTGTTTACTAACCAAACACGCCTTTTTAGACTCTGCAGCCGGCTGATATACTTCGCCTTCCAATGACACAAGACGCAAGACGTATTCATGCCGCGGAGGTTAGCAAGCGATATTATCGGGCAATTATGGCCAGTGGGGCTTGATTTATTGTGACTTAAAAAAATGAAGATGGAAAAATAGTTACACATGTATGATTTGATGGGAAGTTGATTGGGAGGATTGGTCGGCAGCTCTCGCCTGTGGATCACCACTGTGATAGCGGCCATATTTGTGGCAATTGCTCCAGTATTTAGTGATTTTTTTTGATTGAATTGATTCAGCCCTCAGTTGCTGGAAGTAACTCAGCTCTGGACGTAGCGTCATCCAAGGTAGAAAATTAGCTAGCGAAACCCATAACACATACTCCCTATTTTGTGCTTGTTTCTTTCCAGTTGTCTACTTAACATCACACACAAAATAATTTCAGAATATAACCTCATTTCATTGTACAATATAGAAATCCTAATGGCAAAAGGTAAGTACAAGCAGTATATGGGAAGCACAACAAACGAAAAATGTAGGTTGGATCAGTTCAGCTAGGATCATATCATCCCAGTTTAGGAAGATTTATATTCTATACCTCGAATTTTGCCATGGAACCTCTCCAATCGAAACACCATCTACTGTCCTGGAGAGATAAGTTTGCCAGCATCCCGAGCTGAAGGATCCCAGCCACCAGCAAATGTAGGCTTTCCACCATTTTGTTGAGCGAATTTCTGTATTCTAGCCTCAAGCTCTGGTCTGAAATGACGAATGAGACCCTGGATAGGCCAGGCGAAAGCCTCACCAAGAGCGCAGATAGTGTGGCCTTCAACTTGCTTGGTGAGTTCCTGGAGCATATCAATCTCACGCTCGCGGGCCTGACCGCGTTCGAAGCGCTGCATGATCTGCATAGTCCATTTACTGCCCTCACGGCATGGTGTGCATTGGCCGCAGCTCTCGTGCTTGTAGAAATAGGAGAGACGGGAAATGGCTCGGACAACGTCGGTAGATTTATCCATAACGATGACGGCAGCTGTTCCAAGACCAGATTGGGAGTCCTTCAGGGCGTCGAAATCCATGATTTGGTCATCACAGACGTGTTTAGGGAGGATTGGGGTAGATGATCCACCAGGAATGACGGCAAGAAGGTTGTCCCAACCGCCTCGGACACCGCCGCAATGACGGTCAATGAGTTCGCGGAGAGGAATGGACATTTCTTCTTCGACGGTGCAAGGGTTGTTGACATGACCAGAGATACAGTAAAGTTTTGTTCCCTGGTTGCGCTCACGGCCGAAAGAAGCGAACCATTTACCTCCACGACGACAAATTGTTGGTGCTACGGCAACAGTCTCGACGTTTGTGACGGTGCTGGGGCAGCCGAATAGACCAACCGCGGCAGGAAACGGAGGCTTTAGGCGTGGTTTTCCGGCCTTTCCTTCAATGGATTCGATCAATGACGTCTCTTCACCGCAAATGTAGGCTCCCATCCCCCGATGGATATAGATATCGAAATCATAGCCAGAGCCGCAAGCATTCTTTCCAATCAGACCAGCTTCATATGCCTCATTGATCGCACGCTGCAGGATCGTCGCCTCGTGGTAGAATTCTCCGCGAATATAGATGTAAGCGGCGGTGGCGTTCATCGCACGGCCGGCCACGAGGCATCCTTCGACTAGCTTGTGGGGGTCCTTTCGCATAATTTCACGATCTTTGCATGTTCCTGGCTCTCCCTCGTCGGCATTTACGACAAGATATCGAGGTCGTGGGTCCTTGTCCCAATCTTTGAAATTCATGAAAGACTACCAACCCAGATGGTCAAGAGTTAGCAACTAATCCCGCAGGTAAATCATTGGCATAACTTGCACCGAGCCAAAATCCATACATACCCATTTCAACCCCGAAGGAAAACCAGCACCTCCTCTCCCTCTAAGTCCGGAAGCTTTAATTTCGGAGATGATCTAAAAACCAAACCGTATGTCAGCAATCATCATATACTTTCAAAGAAGCGGAAGATCAAGAAGAAAGCGCACCCAATCATGTCCCTTCAGCAAAATCTCTTTTGTCTTGTACCAATCGCCGCATTTCATCGCATTCTTCAGATCCGGGCCATGTCTACCATACAAGTTCTGAAATATGCGGTCCTGATCTTTTAATCCTCCGTGGACTCTGGGCGGAGGCACCGCTGCGGGGTCCTGAACGGTAGCATATTGGCGCTGCTGCTGGGTCTGGAGTTGCTGCGGTTGCTTCTGCTGCTGTGCAGACTGTTTCTGGGAGGATGGGAAGCGAGCGGTGCTGGTGGCGGCCGCGGCACTTGCGGACGAGAGGGCGCGCGACGAGAGGTGGGAGATGGAATGGGTCGTGGGAGCCACCACTGCCCTGGAGATCATGATGGGCTCTTTTTCTTGTTTCTGAGCTCCAATTGAGCGACGGGTGGAGGTGAAGTTCGGCGTGAAAGATGATGTTTCGTGGATGTTGATGGTATTTCCGCCTCTTCTGATTGGCAAGAAACAAGTATGTCACGTGATGCTGACCATTCGGGCTGCCGAGCGACCGAAAAAACCAGCGACATAAAAAAAAAATTTAAACAATATCGTTGGGATCGCAGCAGGTGCTGCGACGGCAAGACAAAGAAAAATAAAATGATGCATTACGGCTCGTGTCTCAATGCAGTGAGTATAAATACATGCAGCTGCCATATCGACCTCTTTCCCCTCTATAGATGCGATATCCGCCTTTACTTGGCCTCAACGCTCCTCGGATCATGTGGAATGTAAAGGTAGCTATCGACGGGCGCCTGATCTAATGTTCTCGGCACGGATTCCACACCCATCAAAAAGGACAGTGGGCTTCTTGCTAGATCCACAGTCTCGTCCCTGGTAATGAGCCAAGCCCACCGCATCCAATTGCCTGATAACCAATACATCCGGTCAACAACCTTCCAGCTGTTGATCAGGTATTCCAAAGGAAACAGCCCATACTTCAGGCGTCGTGTCTTCTTGAATATCTTCTCTATAGAGTCTAACGATTTCTCTGCATCATCGTCCTCGAGAACCCAACGTACATCTTGCGGTGGTTCTGGATAATGCTCAATCAAGAACGCAACCCACTGTCGGAGACGAGCCGGAAGAATACCGCGGTCCTCATCGTCCGATGAATTTGCGTTTTGATCGATGTTTCGGTAAGCTGCAGCACAAAAACATATGAATATCGTATAAACAAGCTTCGTCTCGAATGGGGTCGGAATGTCTCCCTTCGGGTCACCCATAGCTTCGAGAATACCTCTAACACAGGCTTTGAAGGGCTCTTTCGCAGTTCGGGCAAGGGTCTGGGAAACAGCATCTCCATAGAACAACTCCCCACCGTGTTTCAAGCTCGAGGGATGGTCCGTGATTAGCGACTGAATTTTGTTCAAGACTCTTTGGTTAAATCGCCGCTCGGGAAGAGCCTTCATGAGGATATCGAACCAGCTAGAATAATCAGAGCATAATATCTCCACACTCTTTGCTCGTTGCAGCGTCCATTCGGCAATCGCGATGGCACACTCCGATATGTACATTTGACCTTCCCTATAGAAAGTCGCATTGTGCTGCTTTGAATTTTTCGGCTCCCTTTTGAAACACGCGCTGGTTTTTATCATCAAAACATTTTGCATCAATATCTTAATCAATTGGCCAAGTCCGTAAAGAAGGCATCGGGAGCCGCCGTATTTCTCGAATGGAATATATATTCTGTTCTCTTCGATCTGCAGGTCAGCTAATTCTCGACGATTGGCTGACATCACCGCCACCGCATCTAATAAGCCCAAAGAAAAGACGGAGGTCTCCAACGTTCGACACTGAGAAGGCAAGGGGTAAAATATATTATAGACGTAATATTTATCCTCATTTGGAATGGATCCTGGCGTAGCAAAGCGTTTATACTGCTCTTTCTTGGCTACAAGTATTGGGCTGCCAGCTGGAGGCTTTAGGGAAAGTTCCCGGTAATCACATATATTACCAGGGATGCAAAATCCGTAGTTGAGCATCACTAACAATGTCAGTATCCATTTTGTAAAGAGCTTATATTGCATGAAGGTGCTGCACGTACAGCGTTCATTGTTCCGAGGTCCGTAGTTGTTAGGGACTTCTTGACCTGGGAGGAGAGTTTTGTGCACGATGAGGCCAACCACGCCCTGTGAAGTCCTCCATTCCACCTGTGCCAGGGGCTGGTGGTTGGTCATGTCGAGTAACGGTACCAAAACTGAAAATTCACCTCCAGTTACATTAATTGATTTGGAATTTTTGACATAATCTTTTAGGACCTCGGACGAGAACGCGCGAGATATAATTATCGAGGACGCCCAAAGAAATCGCTCCCTAAAAATCTTATTTGGTACACTTATCCCAGCAGATTCTTGAAATAAGAGAACTTACCAAGTGTAGTTTTTTGTGTTTTTATTCGGAGATTCCTTGAGCATCTGCAACCCAACCTCGTACGTCGTCTTCAGCTTTATAAGCATATTTTCGCGTAGCTTTAGCAAATTAGTTCCTTCTAGCCATTCTAGATCCTCGTCACTGTAATATTCAAGTCTCGTGAGTTGGCTATCTTCCGGAAGACTTCTGATATACGGAGCCCAAAACGATTCATCCCCCAAAAGATATTGATCCATTAGTAAAAAGGCCAATGCACCCTTCTCCTTCACCGCAGGAAGGAATTCCGGCGAGCATAGAAAGCCGTGTGACGGGACGCCTTTGATAATCTTCTCCAGGTTCGCAACAGACATCGTTGCCTGGATGGGACAAGATGCAATACATGTCCCGCTGGCAAGATTTTCGGGCAAGAAATGCTGAACACGAAGGCATTGCCCCTTTACAGGATCAGTGCTTAATTGAATCCCGTCGGCGAGGCCTCCCCCGAGCTCTTTGACCCACTCTAGTAAAGACTTTGGCGAGGATCTCGGAGGCGAATCAGAATTGGCACTTGATTGGGTTGGGATCAGTGATCTGTTTCCATTGCTTCAGCATCTGAAATTCAAGCGTATGTACGGAGTATGTCAGGAAGAGATATAGAATGAAAATCCCTGTAGTCTCCAGAGAGGTTGTTCCAATCACACAAGTTGATGTCGCAGGATCGACATCGCACTCCATGCCACTAAGGTGTTGACTAATAAATGTAACACCTTGAAAAGCTCATGAATGATGATAGACGGCAAGATCTAGCCATTTCAAAAGGATGAAGTAGCATATTCAGTTCTGGCATTCAACACGGATATCATTGCCTAGTGCTTCGTCGTCCCTCTTCAGATGAAAGGAGGGGCGAAGAAAAAACAAAAAGAAAAATGCCACACCAGACAAGACAAGATGAAAATCACAAAAATAAAATGACTTACCCATCAGATGCATCGGCATCCATATCTCGCTCTACCTGGAGTGACATGGATCCTATTTCTGCACTCATAGTAACCTGACACTGTGCTCTCGAAAGCCTCTGCGCCTCTGCTCCTCCCAAAATTCGGCGGTTAAAAATATGTGGTAGTTGGAAAACTCAAAAAGTCCTAATAGGCTTCGTCGTCAAGAAATGCGAACAAGACAGATTACTGTAGCCATCAACTTACTGCATGGGACGGTATTGGCAGACAAGAACGGACGGGTGAAATTTCCCACTTGCAATAAAAATCACCATCTGCTCTGGTAGTATACAATGTATGTACAGGAAGGGAACAAGAAGGCGAAGAAGAAGCGGAGGAAGCAACAGTCCAAAAAAAGACCTTTCCCAAATGCCAGCAGTAAGAAAATCAAAGCGTCAGAATCATCCGTCATAAAGCAAGTAGAACCCAGGAAGCAGAAGCAGAAGAACCAACAACCTTATTCCCCTCCATTCCCTCCCTTTGGTCTATCCCCATAGAGTATCCGATTGGTATCACAAAACGAATCTATCCTCCCCCCTCCCGGGCTGCATCAGATCTATCGAGACAGTGAGAAAACAACAGATGGCACCACTCTCTACAAGAAATCGTAAGGGGCCTATGCATATACCTGATGTCGGACACTCGTCCGGACAACGAATCGAAGTTGAACAGACTTAAGAGATCCGTAACATCAAGCAGACAGCGTGTTAATTGGAAGGAGTCCTCCTCCCTGGCACAAGGATCTCTACCAAACCCTCATCTTCGTCATCACTATTGTCGTGTTGCCCACTGTTATTCGAAGACAAGGTCGTGCTGTTTGCGTAGCGCTCTCGACCGAAAAAATCCGAGTACCCAATGGTCTCTCGGATAAGCGTTTCTTCATCGTCGTCGTCCGAATACGAGCTGAATCCAGTAGGTGGCTCGACCATATCCCCCACTTCGTCGTCGTCGTCGTAGACCTCAAGTGGAAGGCGGTAGTTACGTTGGACTGCTTCGATGCTTTCGTCATCATCAGACGAACTTGACGAATACGCACTTGGCGGCTGGAAACTGGAAAAGAATGAGTGTCGCGGCGACGACGATCCTTCTCCAGGCATTGCGAACGGCGATACAAATTCTAGGTCAGCGTTGGGGTCTAGGTCTCGGTCGTCATCCGCACTGAGAAACGGATTGCTCGTCGGGGCGGTCCCGGAAGAGTCTTCCATTTGGTTGGAGAAACCCGGTCTGCCATCTGGAACAACCTCATTCTGGTTTTTGGCATCCGAAGCATCCTTTCCAGATGCAGATGCAGCCTTTTCAGCAGCTTCCTTTTGAGCAGCTAGACGGGCGGCAAGCTGTCGTCGAGCACGCGAGGGCCCACTGCTAAGAGACGTGGGAGGAGGGGGAGGAAGAATCGAAATCGGACGACTTGTCGGGCCATCGGCTCCCTAATAAGCGGGTTAGCTCCGGAGACAAAGGTGAAAAGATGCAAAAGGAGACCTAGAGACAAAATAGGAATTAAACAATAGTGCATGTACATATGACAAAGAGCGAGAAAAAGCTGTAGATGAGAACACATTTTCTCGCATCTATTCAGAAGCCGAAACATGAGAGGAAAGTAGTAGTGTTATTTTGCAAAGAAGAAAGGCTAGAACCATGATGATCCGCCAGCTATGCTGTAGAATGCGAAAAGCTTGATCCAAGCATGCATAAGCTCAAAAAGACAAGGGAAAAAAAAAAAAAAAAAAAAAGGAACGCCCAAACGTAGGTATCTGAAAGGGGGGGGGGGGGGGAATTAAAGTGTTTTTGTGAAATATGAACATATGCACGCCAGTCGAAGGAGAATAATCGGATGCAAATCGCTGGCAAAAACACATGACAGAGTTATGATGTCGTAAAGTGCAAGGTAATGTGACCATCAGAAAATGTTTATGAAAATCGTCAAAGGAATTCATGCTCTCCCAATCACTGATCCATCATGTCAATATCTTCGAAGGAACTTTCACCCACATTTGCAGAGTCTAACCCATCATTATTTGTGTTTTGGAAGCCACGATGTAAATCCTCGGGATCTTCCATCTCTTCGTCTTCGTCATCACTTGAGCTGCCGAATCCACTGAATAGCGAAGCGGTACCCGCTCCGTAGCCCAAGACTCCACCGGAAACCGTTCCTTGATTCGAGAAATTCAAACCGTCGAAACCAGAGCTTGGGATCGATCCGTTCAAGCCGGCATTAGTGAGTGCAGAAGATGTACCCAGCCCCTGACCTCCACTGATCGCGTTCAAAACAGCTTGCCGATGGCCCATTGACATATCCGGCTTGACGCCGCCAAGGATGGCATTATCACGTTCCCTTGTCTCGGCAAGGGTATTCTCGACAAAATTAACCCAATCAGGATGTAATACGGTTTTCATTATCTCTTTGGGCAATGCCTCTGGGCTGAGCCGTTCTGTGAACTTAACAACCTCTTCGGAGATGAGCGTTAAGTGTCCCATATATCCGAGCCGTGTTTTTTTCGCAGCCTCAGCTTCGTCGTTCGCGCGTTGACCCTTGACAATTTGCGCCGGGATCTCAGCCTCCTCGAATAGATTTACCACTAAAGCCTGATTGAAGCCCTGTTCCATGGAGCCGTTCAATGCCTGCTGAATAACATCGTATACAACGTTGTGAAGAAAGTTGTTCCAAGGAAAACGAAAGAAAAACGACTAAAATGATCAGTTAGCCTAAGTCAGACGTTAAAAAGGGATACTGGTGGCCCACTCACCAATATCGTGGGTAAAACATTATGCTTATAAAACATTATTTTTAAGTAATCCCCGACGACTGGACGACCGTTTGAATCTTCTTGAATATATTGAACAAACTTTTCTCTTTGGCTTGGACTGAGGAGCTGTTGACCACATGAAGCATAATCATTCGAACCGTCCTCTTGTTTTTGGTTCTTTGCTATCGGAGGAACCTTGGCTGCTGGAGATGGCGAAGGGGTAGGAAGATGGTTTGGCCTGGATGGCTGATCTTGGTCACAGGTAACTTCTTGAGCTGTATCATTTGAGGCTAGTGCGGAGGTAACTTGATCTGAACTCTGCGACTCAGTAGGATTTTGGTTAATGGACTCAAATTTAAAGCCTTGAACCTTCTCAGTTAACCCAGAAGATGTTGGTGATGTTGGCCCTTCTTGTTCAGAAACACCAGCTGAGGGTGGTGGCCTTTCTGGGAGTTTCTCAGTCGACGAAGGCTCATTTCGAGGAGGAGTAAGAGGCTCGTCTACTAGATCGTCACGCACTCCCAACTTGCGCACATGAGTGAAGGTGCCAACGCATGACTTGGTATCCTGCTCATTTGTGTTTTCAGGAATGCCTTTGGCTTCCAAAATGACACTAGCCGAGCCAACGTCTTCGAAACCATCTTCTTCTCCCGTATTGGAGCTATCAATTCTTCTGATCTCGTCGGGGGAGCCTGAACCAAGCGCCGAGGGCGATATTCCGTTGCCGAATTCATTAGTATTTTCGGTATACAGCAAACCGGAGTCTTCATCTTGTCGACTAAAGGCTCCCAAGCTTCGTAGGCGCTCTCGTTCACTCTCTCGTATTTGCATATATTCATCACTACCAATCTCGTTGTGTAATCCCATATTACTGCAATGCAACAATTCTGCCATGAGTTCGCAAGTTTTGAACCTATCGAATCCTAGGGGCTCGACCTTTGATCCCCATGCTGTGCTTAACCGACCTCGCTCGATTACCTTGTATGTGCCACCCTCATTAACCGTTCGGTCTGAACTGAGAATTAACTTCATAAAGTCAGGAACATGGTCAGCGAATATGCGCAGAAGGGTTCCCAAGTAAATGGGGTCGTGGTTGGAAGGTGTCGCATCCCGGCCCTCAGGTGGCTCTGGGTCATAATCTGGATTGTTTTTGCGGATAACATCGATCACAATTCCAACTGCGACAACGAGAGGATTTCCGCCTTGTAGCATTATAGAGATCAGGTTTCGCAAGCATGGTTCCGAGACTAACTGGCGAGTAAGACTATTTGGACCAATACAAGGTTGTTCATTTTGTGCCGCATTTGCAGATATTGTAATGAGTGCTTTGAGAAAATCACCAGCGGATGTTTGTGTCGAAGCAGAGTGTTCAGTCGAAATATAGGATAATAGGATTGGTATGAAGTTGTTCGAATAGAGCCACTGATTAATAAGTGTGATGTTAGCCTGACGATAAATCGCTTGGTACCAATGGATGGGGAGGGTAGTAGGAAGGCCCTCACCTCTGTAACCACCAGACCAGCCTCGGGCTTGTCCAAGCTAATAATCTTCAAAAGTAAATCCATCACAGATGGGTTATCCACGTGCCTCAGCATCGTCTCGATAATGCCATCTAGGGACATGACAAACGAAAGCATTTCCGGTGTCTTTTGATCAAGCAAGACTTCATTAACCTTATAGAAATAGCTAGACTGCAATGAATCAAGGGGTGTTGTCCCGTGCAAGAACTGCCAGAAGATTCGAAGCGATTCCTCATTTAGCATCATGGCCTCTATTATGGACCAAGCAGGTGCAGAGAGGACCTCCGAAGAGATGTATGCGTACTTAAGTCGAGCTTTTTCGGCATTTTCCAGTTCTTCCGGGTCGAGGTCTGCGCCTAATCCGTCCAACTGTTGGGTTACTGTACTTTTCGGTTCGACGTCTCCTTCGCCCGAAACAGCTTTCTCCAAGTCGCGATCGCTCGACTTGCTTTCTCCGCAAGCCTTTATATCTTCGTTATCGTAATGGTCCTCATTGTTTAAAAGGCTAGGCGAAACAATGTATTCCAACATGCGTTTCAGGACATGATCTTCGCGGATGAACTCTATCAGCTTGGTGTTATGCTGCTTCATCTCATGCAATAGTTCCGACTCATCCAGGACCTCTTCAACGGTAACATCTGGCTTGTCCAGTAGTGTGTTAATCGGCGAAATATTCGCGTATCCGCCATACCGCCAGAACATGATGCTGATTCGATGTATCTAGAGAGGAAGGGGGGAAATTGTGAATGGTGGACAGCAGGCAACAATCATGGGTTATCGCCCCTTTGAGCACAACGCTTTTCTAGTCAGCAGACCAGAAAAACTGACGCACAACCTGCCGTCCAGGTTCCAGCAATTATGTTCGATATCGCTCAGGGATTTTATCAATTTGTATAGCGGCCAGGACTTCAAGGTGACACAGAGAGCGCGAAGCCAGACTAAATGTCATTAATCAGATCGCAGGATGGACAGGTGTGTGAAACGAAGATTAAAAGCGACGTTGCGCTGTTGGCAGGCTATTAGTATCATCATCATGAATCTACAGAGAAAGAGATATCTCAACGTTACAGAGGATAAGGCGCATCGCCAGGTGAGAGGGGCCATGACCAACGGACAAGATGACGTACCTCTTTGCAATACCATTGAAAAGGGAGTGACAACAAAGCAAATATGGGTATAATAGGAGATGGATTAAGAGATGATTCAAGATGAATCGTGCAAATGTACTGTCGTCAGCTGCTTGATGGTTGATATCTGATAGACGTATTTCGTAGTTGGCGAAATCGGTTGGTGTGGTTCTGGGGCTGGCTGTAGGTGCGGCTAGAAGTGAAATCACAGATCCACAGGAAACGCGAACCTAAAAAACTGCAAAGATATCATAGAATGTTCAGTTGATGCAGGTGTGCCAACTGAAGCCAAACTGATTTGTTGATTAACGTGAACCAGTGCTCTTGATAAGATCTCACTGTGGCGTCCGGCCTAGTCTGCTGCTGGGCGAGTGACCTTTCGCGCGAAGTCAACCTTGACCGTCCGGCATATCATGTGACTGGCCCGGTGATTCCCTGGATGCCACGGCTTGGCATCTCAAATGCCTTAAATGCCACATATCCAACGTCTTCAGCCCCGCCGTGGCTGGCCCTCATGACATAATCTGTCGTCGCTCGCTGCTCCTCGTCACCAAGCAATTATGGACAAACATGCCACCAACACTAAGAAGAACACCGGAATGACTGTCTATGACAATCTATCTTAATCCACACTTGGTTCTCATAGCTACAAGTTTTGTTACTGTTAACGCCCCAGACAGATTTTCGTGATCCCAGCCCTGTGGTACTCCTGCGTGGAGCTCCTCCCAACTAATCTTCATCAATTCGTTGCAGCTTTAGTCTCGAATTCATAGTCATAACCACTCCTTAAAATGAACCGGCTATTCGGCGCAAAGAGCGCTGCTCCCAAGCCCAGCCTCGACGGCGCCATACAAAATGCAAGCACACCTTCGTACCCACCCCCCAACACTCCGCCACTTCATAGCCAGGCTAACACTTACCTTCCAGGTTGAAGCCCGCGTCTCCAACCTAGACGTCAAGCTCGCTGCACTCAACGCGGAATTATCCACCTACCAGTCCAAACTCTCCAAGATGCGCGACGGCCCGGGCAAATCTGCCCTCCGTCAGAAAGCCCTCAAAGTCCTCCAGCGACGCAAGCAATATGAAGCCCAGCGAGACCAATTAACCCAGCAATCCTGGAATATGGAGCAAGCGGGCATGATGCAGGATAATCTACGGAATGTGATGACCACAGTGGATGCGATGAAGACGACTACGAAGACGCTGAGACAACAGTATGGCAAGATCGATGTTGATAAGATCGAGCGTCTGCAGGATGAGATGCAGGATTTGATGGATATTGGGAATGAGATACAGGATAGTATCAGCCGTTCGTATGATATACCGGAAGATGTGGACGAGGCAGAGTTAGATGCGGAGCTGGAAATGTTAAATGAAGAAGTAATGCTTTCTCCCGAAGAAGGGTTGCCGTCATTCATGCAGGACGAAGTTGCCCCACCGTCATTCATCGATGAACCACCAGAACAGAACAAGGTTAAAGAGGCTGCAGGTGGAATTGAATGATATCCAATTTGCACTTATTTCATTTCTCCCCACTGAACTTTTTGGTGCTTTAGGGGCTTTCTATTTCCCCCCCAGATCCAAGCCTATTTAAATTATGAAGAAAAGCATAAAGCCAGTCAATTTTAGCTAACTACCCGGTGTCTTTGAGAATGCTTTTCTTTGCCTAAACTGTCTCGACAGCACTAATATGGATAACCCGTCCATATCCTAAGCTATTACTCTGTACTTGTTTACTTGGCTAAACAAATTGAAAACAGCAAGCTGAAAGGGAAACATAACACTTTGTCGAATTGCATCTTATTAATGCAGGTAAAACATGTTTTGTCAAATTTAAGAGCTATTCATGACAGGTGAAAAGTATAACCCGCCACAAAAGCATGGTGAGAAAATGCTCACCATAAGCAGCAGATGCTCATGCTTTGCCCATACCCACAAGGACGAGCAGTGCAATGTTCAAAACAGTGATGACAATCCAGATCAAGACACCTAGAATGGTCACCAACCAATTATTCTTCATAGACACAGCCTCAACTTCCTGGCCCTCAGGATTAGAATTTCCAGTCATTAACCCCGCCTCCACTGTCATATACCGGGAGCGCGACGTAAAATAAATAAGTGGGGCAGAGACGAAAGGAAGCATCGCGCTCAAAACAACTTGTGATGCAGTTAGAGCAGCGTTTAAACCCTCTTTGCCCACAGCAGCCGCAATGATGACACTAGGAATGATGCTGATGGATCGAGTGATGAATCTCCGGAGCCAGGGCGCTACGCTCCAATTAAGCATCCCTTCGCTAACCATTTGCCCGGCAATAGTGCAGACTATTCCTGCGGAAATTCCAGACAAAAGCAGGGCGATTGCGAAGACAGTACCGGCAGCAGGCGAGATGGTCTCGGAAAGAAGCCTGTGGATTCCAAACAGGTCTGCATCACTGGCCTCGGAACCAGAAAGCGATGCTCCGGCAACAATAAGGATACTGCTGTTCACGAATAGGGCAAATGTGAAAAGTGAAAGGACCAGTTCGAGTACCGAGTACTTGAGGCATCCGCGTATCGCGTGAACTGTAGGCCGATATTTATCCTCATAGGTATTGCCATATTGCACTGATGGATCGATGTATCCGCGATTAATATCATACTCTCTGAGGCGGGATTGCACAACTCCACTTCCCAAAAAGATGGAGTGAGGCATAACAGTGGCACCGAGAATGCCACAGCTTAAGTATAGACTGACAGCTCTGTTAATACACTGGTGACTGCAATATGCTTTGATAGAAAGAGGGGTTTAGACATACCCATTATCCTTGACAATTGCTTCAGAGGGTAAATACCCTTTGAAAATTTCCCCTACACTGGACTCTTTGATAAGGGACAGCTGGACGCAGAAGCAACCCACGACACCAAATACGAGCGCCATGACAAAAAATTCGAAGGCTCGCAATGCCCTCATTGTTCCATGAGGTTTGTAAAAGATCAATATTACCATGACATCAACAAGAGTGATGGCACAACCCGCAACGAGTGGTATGTTGAAGAGTAGATTAAGCGAAATCGCAGATCCGACCACCTGCACCCTAGGTTAGACATGTCCCACAATCATCAAGGTTTACGAGGAAATCTTACTTCAGCTATATCTGTAGCAATTATGGCAGCCTCTGACAAAACGTATAGCAAGATGTTGAGCCACTTGGGCAAATGGGCCTTACAATTTTCTGCCAGATTAAGCCCGGTAACGCTCCCAAGTTTGATGCATAGCGATTGAAGAAAGACGGCAATCACATTAGACATGAAGATGATGAACAGAAGGGAATATTTAGCGGACGCTCCGGCAGCAACGTCGGTGGCATAATTTCCCGGATCAATATAAGCGACGGCAATCAGAAAACCGGGCCCGATAAACTGGCCGAATTTTCGCAATGTTTTAACTAAGCGATGGATCAACTCTCTAGGGCCAAATTTACCCAGGTTCCCAGATCCGGCACCCCCAGAGTACCCGTGGAAATTCGGCCAGGATGAGCTCGAAATACGTCTGTTATCCACATCCTCCTCCAGGCCTACCTCCCGCTCTCCTACCGTAGACGCGTGCGCATCCTTCCCCGCGGAATGAGCGCCTGGTTCATCTTCATCGGTGCTTTTGGACGGTATATCTTGCCCGGGGTTCAATTCGGTTCCATTTGGCCCGGTCCCTTTTCCTTTGCGCACTCTCATGTTAGCCATTCCGTTTAGGTCTTTGCGGGTGGTAAGGTCGGCGGTCAGAAGGGGAGGGCTCTGGTTCCAGCCTGGGTTGTCAGAAGGGTTATCGGTACGTGAAGGGCAATTCATCGTAGGTGACTCTCTGCACAGGACTAAGTTGCGAGACGTGCTCGAGGCGAGGTTCGTGTAGTCAAGAAGGTTGTTTTTAAAACAATTGACGTGCTGCAGACGTAGGGGCGCGGGGTTTTAACTGGGGTACGGCTATGGATGTACTGGGTGATTACGTTGGATTGTGTTTTATCAACGGCGAGAATAATAGAGTTCGTTTCGTTCCTCTGAAAGAAGTCGTCAAGTCCGCGGGTCGAAACAAGTTTCGACCCGAGAAAAGCCCTTTTTGATGCTGCTATTTCTAAACTTTTCCATCGTGCACATGAACGGCGCCAGAAGGGCCAGCGGATACCACAGGTCACGATGCCATTCTCCTGACTCCCACCACACATATTAGGTAACACGTTGATCAATGTAATTTGTACGGGGTACTTAGTACCTGGGCAGAGCGTAGTGGGGCTCAAGTTTCAAATCTTAACTGGTCTTGGCTTTGCTTGGCAGAAATATAAGCTTCGAAGTGACCTCTTATGTAAGCACAAACCGTGGTGGTCGCCGGATATTTGTCGGTCCGGGAGAACTATGATTACCTAATAACGGAGATCTGCGCGTTGCCATGACAACCCGTCTTATCATCATCATGCTCGACGGCACCCAGCACCCCTGTCAACCTAAAACGAAACGCGACGGTAGCAAGACAGCCGTTGGTTTATTGTTGTCATTGCCGTGCCTTCGAGGCCTGAGGTAACCTCCATCTTTATAACACCCGTTCACCGACTAACGTCCGCCCTTTCAAAGCCTTTCTTGTTTACTTGTACCCTCTAAGACGCATGATGAACTGTCGACATCTCTGATCTAGACATCGAATGACGTGACGACATCTATCTTTTATTCCTACGTCGCATTCAACTCAAAGCGTCTCCTCGAGTCTTTGATTTGTTTACCTTAGCATTGGAGCTGCAGCATTATCAGAGGTATATATCAACCATAACCCACCCAGAACGCGTTTCGTCGGGAGGTGCGGCTGACACTGCAGAGTATGAGCGAGTTGGCAGACAATGGCGTCCAGATTGGATTTTCCACTGCAATTTCGGGACGAGAACGCTGACAAGCCAAAAAAGTCGGTCCTAAAGTCTATCTTTCCGCCAAAATCACGTCGAAAATCGCAGCCTGCCTTCCTTTCACCTTCTTACTCCCTTCAAAACCAACCGCCCGTTCAAAACTGGATCCTTCCAACAGATCACTCTCACTTCCAGATCAACCATCCTCTTGGAGAGCTGTCAGAACGTACACTCAACCAAGGAATGGCAAATGGTTCACCCTCAAAGCAGAATCACCCAGACGAATCGAGCAAGATAGGTCTTCATAAAAAGACGAAGAGCTCGGTATCTCTCAAATCACTTTTAAAAGATAAAGATAAAATGGAATCTGAAGCAAAGGACCCCAGTGCTGAGAATGGCTCAAAGCAGAAAAAGCCGAAAAAGACGAAGTCCACTACCAGTCTGTCGGGGATTTTCAAGAGGTCACAACGAGGGAAAAAAGGCAATTCATGCGAGAAAGAAGACAAAGAAAACGTTACCATGGCCAGAGGCTCTAACGATATGCCACCTCCACCAATTCCTCGTTCACGAGCCCAGTCTATCCAGAGTCAGATATCTAACCGCTATGTTTCCTCCGGGAGGACTGTGGAGGAGGAAATGTCGCTCTACACACCAAGAGGCTATTCTCCTTCCAGTCAAAGAAACTTCTACGATTTCCAACAACCATCCCTTACAAAACGTCCTGATTCAAAATGGAGACCGAAATCGGAGTATGGTTCCTCGAGCACCTCGTCTGTGAAGGACATTTTACAATCAATACACAGGCGAAGCCCGTCTGCGGGAAGCGTAAAGTCAAATGCGTCTCGGACGCATCCTTTAGCCGAACGCCCACCCTCTGAAAACCGAAAGTCATCAAATGGGAATCGAGGCTCCCGGGTCATGGCTGCAATTGCAGCTTTTAGTGCTAAAGACAAGAATTTTGACAAACCTAAACCAGTAGATCCAAAAGAAATTGACAGTGAATTCGAACGCCTTTTGGTAAGTCCCACGTCAACTAATCCGATTTAGAGTGGGAACTAACCATTGGCCAAGGACGCACGAAACATACCTCATAATATGCGCGACAGGATGAGATCCTTGAACACCAATATCAAGGCCGACTTTATCAATAAAAATCAGATTGAGGGCGAATGCTCTTCTGCATCTGCTTCCGCCCAAAGACAATTTGTGACAACTTCGCACAAGCGAACCAAGAGCAAAGACAGCTCGTTTGGACGCTCAGAGAATAGGGGAACTAAAGTACGACCCCTTAGTGGTAGTTTTGTGTCTGCGAAAGTCGATTTGCCTTCTTTTAGAAGACAAAAACCTGACCATTCGAGTTCCCAGAAGCGCCCAAAGTCTGCAGACCTGTCAATACCTTCGCGCTTACCATCTGGGGGTTTGAACCCCGCTCTTCCCTCTCCTGATCTCATCGCAGACCCGACCGATTTCGTTCATTATCTGAAAGAGGTACAGAAACCGGAGATTGTTGAAGTTAGTAAGCTTCACAAGCTCCGTATACTTTTGCGAAATGAAACCATATCTTGGGTGGAGTCATTCATTTCTCATGGAGGAATGGAGCAGCTGGTCGACCTTTTGTATAGAATACTGAAGGTTGAATGGAGGTATGGTTACATCTTGGTGTCAATGGAGCATCTTTTTAACTAATATTTCTTCCAGGGAGGAGCATGAAGATGTATTACTGCACGAAGTCCTTCTTTGTATCAAAGCGTTGTGCACGACCTCTCCAGCCCTTCATCAACTTTGCAAGATAGGAGATGACCTATTCCCCACATTATTGCGGATGCTCTTTGGAGAGGAGAAAAAGGGTCCCAGTGAATTTGCAACCCGGAACATAATAATCAGCTTGTTATTCTCCCACCTGTCATCTGCAACATTTGAAGAAGTGGCTACTCGTGCTAGAACTATCCTGTCCTACATGCACGACCCAAAGCCACCCAAGGAATCAGCGCCATTACCCTTCATCGCCGAGATGCACCAGGCGCGTCCGTACCAGCTGTGGTGCAAGGAAATGAGTAACGTGACAAAAGAGGTGTTTTGGATATTCCTTCACCATTTCAATGTGGTACCTGTGGCAAAAGCAGAAGATTCTTCGCTACCTTTTATCCAACGATATTTTCCTCCCCCTCATACGCCCGTTCCCGCAGCTCCCTATATTGGTGGGGTTGAATGGGACGCTACAAACTATCTTGCCACCCACCTGGATCTTATTAACGGTCTTTTAGCATCGTTGCCAACAATTGAGGAACGGAACGAGCTGCGAACTCATCTTCGCGCGTCCGGCCTAGAGAAAGTTATGGGCCGAAGCCTTCGTACTTGCAAGGAAAAGCTGTATCCGGCCGTCCATGAAGCACTTAAAGTCTGGGTATCCGCCGCTGCCGACGATGAGTGGGACTATAAGTTTGTACGTGAGGGTCCTCCACGAGACGCACCGCCGTCCACTCCGCGAAGCCCTATCAAAGGTTGCGGCAGTCCCAAGAAGCTGGGCATTGTGGGTGACGCACCACCAAAGATTGACTTCCATGTTGGAATCTCCGGGAATAGCAATGCTAGAAACGAGCAAAACCGTTCTCAGGGGCTTGGTAATGATGGATGGATTTGAATATAAGATGAGTTACGATCCTTTTATTTTTTTATTTTTTCATTTTTTTTTTTTTTGGCTTTAGTTCTTGACTTGTCGTTCTCTTTTCATTTTTCTTTTCTTTCCTTTTTTTCTTAGTTACGATCAATAGCGAACGGCCTCAATTTATCCCTCTCGCACAAGAGATTAGGTCTACCATGCAAATTTTCATCTATGGTGCTCAAGGTGTCGAGGCGCCAACATCTTCTTTTCTCTGTTTTATTTCTTCATTTTTTTTGACAAACTTTCATGTACACACCTTATGATCCACCGACGTGAGCTTTGGGCCTTGTGTGAGGGTGAGAGACCTGAAACAGCAGAACATTGGGCTTGCTTTCACGTGCAAATGACAGTGAATAAACCTAGGATATGTTGAATGCCCCAATTACATAGATGAATAATGAAATAAAATCTGTCATGATTGGTCCTTTGATGAAAGTTCAAGCTGCTAAGAATGGTGAGAAAGGGGGTCACTTTTACTCCGGGGATACCTTGAGCTTAGCAGCAACTGAAACGGTGGCGCTCGGTGGCATCGATGTCGCTTACCATACAGGACTCGTACGCGAACCAAATCAACTTGCGCTTTGAATTAGATTAAGGCGTCATCGATATCGGTACCTTTAGTGGAAAAGCTTTCTCAATCCGGGCAAAACGTCACACAAATTCGGTGGAAAACCTCCCTATGACCCATTCTAGCCGCCAGTTAGCAACATGGCATTCTGAGCACAGCTTGATATCAGTGTAAAGATACCTACATTCATATTTGTCAGAATGAAGCCTAGTTTTTAAAAGATTTGTTCCCAGATCCCTGTATCCCATCTGTTGATTCGCCAAATGACTGTGGCTACCACGCGTATCCATCCATATGCTATCCTTATTGATACTACCTCTTGGGCGCTGGAGCTCGTAAGGGAACATTCCCATCAAGACTGGATATTGTGGACTTGCAGCGGAAAGCTATCAGGGATAATGACGGGGCAGCACATCACAATGGCTGAAAGAAATTTGGCCTATTGTGCCTTTCGAGACACTAGAATGAGGTATCAATTTCAACACAGCGGGCGTTTTATCGGGCATGTGTTCCTCCATTGTTATGGGAGTTATGCTACATGGATCCCTCTAGTAACTGAACCGCTTCTTCAACGGCTCATCAGCTCAGCCAATTGAGCCATAGCCACCGTTGAAAAGTGTCGAGTATAAGCATTTGCCCTCAAACACCCTCTGCAATTCTGATTTATGTACTTCATTAAGAAATCAAGTAATTGAACACTATGTGTATCATAAGGTTCAAAAAGGTTCCGATTCGCTCTTCTGTCCTTCGCTTCTCTCTCTGTATTCCCTGTACCCTTTTCTTGAACTGTGATGTCCACAGAAAGCGATTGATCTGTTTAATATAAAGAAAATATTTACCTAGTGTCTCAAGGAGTGGATGGTAAGTTGCCCCCGACATCAAAAAGAAGGAAAGGAGTTATCCGATCGGCAGGAGACATCAACCATCAAAAACTGTTGATGCTCTAATTGTGGTGCGGGATAGCTGTGATAACTGCCAAACATTTCCCAAGAAATCTGGCAAACTAGATCCGGCGCAAATGTAACATGTCACGCAATCTTCTCTGTCCGTTTTGCTGCGAAATCTACTCCGTAACGGTTGAACAATCTCGAAAGTTCTCTTTGATGACTGGTTTCGCGTCGCCGGGCAGCGTATTTGGCTGTCACGATTTAGAAGAAGGAATCTTTTAAAGAAAGCTGAAGATTCACCGAAGAGTATGGAGTTCCAGCGTCATAAAATAGTAGTGGGTTGGATCATACATATCTGATCCATAAGGTAGAAGCCCACTATGCGGAGTACATCATAATAATGTGATTGCGTGGAGTGATACTTTTATGCATCAAGTCAACGTCAATATTGAAAACCGATAACCCATCGCTCAACCAAGCATCGAGTAGTCTTGTCTGGAGCAATATGGATGAAAGAGCTGGTGCCGGCCTTAAGTGTAGTACTGATCCAAGGTTACAAGGTCCCAGAGCGGTCAAGAATAGAACAAAGCTCCAGCCCGCAGCGTGGTTCAATCTCCTGACCATCACGACCAACGAAAACCAGCATATTATCATTGTACGCGTTTGTCAAATGGGCGACTTGTTTGAAGGAGGTTACTGCCGTATTGATCCACCTGACCCTGAATGGAGGACTGGGTTCCCAGTTATATGAGTCCGCCCACCTTGGAATGGGAACATCTGGATCTCCAGGTAAAGACTCCATACATGCCTAAAAGAAGAGCCTAACGTTAATCACTAACGTCCATCTGCCACTTGGGCGGCAGGTAAAGGATGCTTACAAAGCCTTGAAATGCCTTGCTATGGTTAACAGAAAAGAACAAGACGACATGGCGGGCTGAATTGTAAGCATCCACCAACTTATCAATATTCTTCACTTGTGTTGACCAAGTGCCCTGTCCAATGTCAGTAATACGAAACAAGCATGAAGACGGAATTTTACCTCGTGCTGTGATGCTATCACATTTTCGAGTGACAAGCTCTTTAGAATGAAGAATTTCGTTTCTATTAACACCGATTAGCAACCTCGACGTGAGTAAGTTAGGTGAATGGAGGACAACCGTATCTACCTCCTGCTCCTAGGATCATCCGAGGATTCTCTAACACGTACTGGGAACGGGTACTCTGCGAAGGCCCACCGCCACGGGGTCGCATTGGAGGGAGGCCACGTCCACGTCCACGGCTGGGCACGCTCCCTCCATAGCCCCTAGATTCTGGAATATCCCCCCATCCACCGGGCTGGTTTGTGGTACTGACTGGATCCTTTCTGTCAGCTTACATGTCCTGGATCTGACTAACTCTCCTTACTTACAATCATGTTGCTGGGTATCCTGCTGCGGTTTCTCAAAAAAAGCCGTTCTGGACTGTTCGATGGGCCGCACGGCGTCTGGATCATCTATTTCCAGCCAGTCGGATCAAGTCAGTAATTAAAATTTCCTATTACCCAAGAGACAAACCTTGGTCTTCAGTATGTTTGTTCCATCTTTCCATGCGTAGCTTCTTCATTGATTGTTGCGGAGGAGAAGCCATGATGGAGCTTGATCGCTTCAATTTTAACTCTCTTGACGGGTGGATAAACGGACCAGGGGTGGCGTCACGGCCAGGATCTCCCACACTCCCATCGTTGAGGTTTATGGAAGGAGTGCGATCAATCATCTCAGCTCCCTTGGGCGTCTGGGGCATAGAATTTGCTGATGTCAAGTGAGGAGAGCCATGTCCACCGGGAAATGTGTCATTCACGTCTAGTTTGAAGTGAGATGTAGGAAAAGACGCATCGTTGCGTCTCTCCAATGCTTCACGTGCGTCTTGCTCCTCTTTTATCAATTTAGCCCTTTCTAACTCCAAGGCCGCCAGACGTTTGCGCCGTCGCAGAGACTTTGAACGGTATTCCTCATCATAATAGCCAGTGAGTTGGAGCCATTCACGAAGCTCTTGTACCTCACTTCGCTCCAACTGCAGAAATTCGTGCTCAAATTCAGAAACACGTGGGCTTTGGACGGCTGGCTGCGGGGGTTGCATTCCCTCCATAATGCTCTGCCTCAAAGCCTTATGCGTCGGGGAAAAGTTCTTAGAGCCCACTGGTATACTTTCTGGTGGTTCGCAGAGCCGTATTTCTCGGTGATGAGGACCGTGGTGTGTGCTTCTACGACTTGGTTGGCCTTCAGTCACCGAAAATGAGAAATCTTCACCATTTGGAGCCTCAGAATCGTGGTGGGAGGCGATTGACATATTTTTCACATGGGTTGCAGAAGATATATAGGGAGAACCAAGCTCTTTCACACTAGCGTGTTTGTGTAGGTTGATAGATGTGGCCGACGGTTTGGTTTTATCATACCCTCTGGCCGGGTGAATGGAGGGATCAGGTGACGATGTCCCGTCACTGGTGCGATTCAACCTTTCACTTGCGGACAAAATATCGGCAGCTGCCTTCCCCTCTGCAAGCAGCCCGTCAAGTTCCGCTGTGAAAGAGGGCTTCCCATGTAAATGTTTTCCATTGGTGCCGATTACGCCTGCCACTCTGCCTCCATCATTCGAGAGACAGCCGGACTTTAGCCCTGAAAGCCCAGAGGATGTCGCACCCAAATTTTCAACCGAATTCTCGGCCAAGCTATGAGACTTGTCTGCAGCAAAGTCTGCGATGGACCCTTCAGGATGTACTTTCGACGCACCAAGAGCGCCTTGCCGGCGCTTGTGGGACATCGATGCAAGAGTAGCAGTTCGTTTTGATAGTAAAAGCTTCTCACTATTGGGATTGTTCACCGTAATTGATCTAACTTTCTGACTTTTCTTCCTTCTTTGTCTTCTTGCGGAACAATTGTGTGGTCGGTTGCCGATTCTGCTGCGAAGCAGGAGTACCAACTCCTTTCGAATATGGCCTGCAATTATCTGAATACACACAGATTATTTGTGCTGCATCATGGCAGACTATTATGACATGTATCGAAACAGTCTGAAAGGTCAGCAGCAAGTATAATTAACCAAAAGCATCAGACCAAAGCACAAATACTGCCAACCTTGTGTTCCTCCGAGCATGGCAAAGGAGCAGATATTAGACGAAAACCAGGGATTGGACTCACAGTTGGGGTGAAGCAGCTCCTCACAACAATCAGTATGAAGGCTGCTTCTTAAACCTCAAGAATTGCCATCCAATGTTGATACATAAAAGAAGGGTGAAGATATTTACTCTCCAATAGCTGCAACCTTGTGGGACTATTAACAAATGTGTGGATAAGTACGGGGGAACTTGATAAAAGCAGCTTCTGAAAATGCAATTAGCTGAGAAATACAGAGTACTCTGTACTCTTATTAGAAACAATCAAACATAGCTACAAAGTACAGAGTACAAGCAACGAAATTGAACAGGTCTGCGCAATCAGAAGAGAATGTGGACATTTAGTTGGCAGAAGTTTAAAATCTGACAAACTCTGACAAAACAAATATTATTAACTTAGTTAGTTACTATAACGTAATCCACAAGCGAGCGAAATCCCCAAGTGAAAGATTAAATTAAGGCATCTCAACTAACTAGAATTTAACCCGAAATATCTACGCTCAACAACCCCTAAATAGATTAAATTACATTGCAATAGGACTACAGCACCTTCTTCTTGTATGGCCTAAAATATGGCAGTTCGTACACCTTGGTAGTGCCCGCAAATGTGATGCAGGCTCTGAGGCTGCGGGCTCAGAGAGTTGAGCAACTGACTGTTCAACAGGTTGAGCAGGTGGAATAGCAAGCTCAGCAATCTCTTCCCTAGTTAGACCTCCTTCATATTGAATTTGGTGCTTAGATCCCATATGCTTTTGCTTCTCTTTCTCATTTGCAGCAAATATATCCTGATATTGCTTCTTCATAATAGTGGTGTTGACCATTCCATATTCACAGGCCTTGATAATTTGGTCAAATCCTTCCATTAAGCCCTGGGTGAGCTCTCAAGCCCCTGCTCCATAAGATTCTTGATCTTATTCACCTGCCTATGCAACTGCCGGGGGCTGCTTGGTGTTTGTAGGATCCAGGATGACTAGGAGTTGCTAGATTGGCTAGCTGGGGGAGTAGGGGTTTGGAGTTGGATATCCAGCTGCTGAATAACCTTCCTATCCTCACATTTTGCTTGCTCGTAATTATAGTATCTGGAATAGCAGCATTTGAGCTCCGTACGGTGTTTAATCAGATTTGACACCCAGTTCTTGCCAACACAGGGGGAGGAGAGGTAGGACCTTGTGTGGCAAGAAGATGATTAGCCATATTCTCAACAAATGCCAGTGTGGGAGGGATTCCTCATTTAGCTAGGTCTAGGATCCATTGAACTAGCTGATTCTCTTCAGGCTCAGTCAATTTGGTTGGATTTGCGCGTAGACTGGTTCTTGCACGTCTTCCTTTCGCTCAATGATATAAGATAGTATAAGGCACATTAAATAGCCGTGCAGGTTCAGCAGTTGAGCTAATTTCTTGCTTTTTAAGAGTAGAAATAGCAAGTTCAATCCTGTCCTCTATTTCTATAGAGGATCTTGCATTTTTATTGCGAATTGGTGGCATTCTGACGCGTTGAAGTGGATGGTTGAGGAAGTTGAAAAAATATCTTCCGCTCGCTTGTGGATTACGTTAACTAACTAAACTATCGCGCTGAAGTAACTAGCTGCAGGCCAGGTAATTCTGTTATGTAAGCTAGTCTAACAGCAAATTAGTGCTGTCATATGACCCATTAGTTACACATATCTAACCAATCAGATGAGGAGAATAATAGCACAGGCACAAGGCAACTTGTGTGTACTCCGTACTCCGTACTCCGTATGTATTAACAGTATTATTTCAAGGTTGAACTGTTTGGAGTTCATTCAGTCCTGCAGTAACTGTCTTCATTTCAGCTGTGCAAGCTCCTCTGGATACTCTGTAGCAAGCTTAATAAAGCAGATTTTCCAACAACCCGGTACAGCATCCTGAGCCAGGTAACTGTGGCCATTGTTTCACAGACATAACACACACCAACCAGTATGGCAGACACAGGTTTGCCAGCATAATAGTTAATTATTTGCACTAACTACTCGCACCGAAGCGAGTTAGTGCCCCAAAGGGCCTCTCCAACCAAGAAGCCGATCGATTCGGTCCCGAAGAGAACTATCATGCGACACTCCCTCAACACTTTTCGTGTTCAGCTGCTGCCCCGCGACCGTTGCATTCGGAGCACTGGTCGAGATAATCGTGGTAAGTTTCTCGGCTACTCTCAGATCTTGACGAGTGGGCATTTCTGTCATGTCATTGCCGAGATCTCTTTGCTTTCTGTGAAGATCCTCTGATACCGTTGCCCCCCCCGATCCCAATGCATCGGTGCTTGCCTTTTCTTGCGCTTGACCGGGGTTATCTCTCCGTTCCGACCCACTGTATATGTCTTGCGCTTCCTTGGGAGTAATTCTGCTCGTGATCAACCCTTTCCCGGCCCCAGTTAATTTAGCCCGGCGCCGAAAGATTTGACACTCGAGACTGGCTGGCAAACAACCCAGAATTTCTTTGCTTCCGCCAATATATCCTCCTACGCTGTAGTGACTGCCAGCGTTCATAAAGAGGACGGAAAATACCCCAATTGTAAAGATTGCTAGAGATGAGAGTGTAACTCGGAGAACTCTCTTCGGCCGCCCGGTTACGTTATGGAAACGAGACGCCACCGCTGACTGGTACATGCCCTCTACTCGCAGATCAAGGGACCTCCGTACAAGAGAGAAGAAACTCAATATAGAGCGATATGACGCGAGCTGATTTAGCAAAACTTTTAGGTCTTCTTCCCCGTCAACCATTTCGCCCTGGTCTCCGCAGCTTCTGCATACATTGATGCATTCTCGGTGGTTTCGATCGGGAGCTATTTCCAGTCTGACACGTCCTATGTTGAGTGAGCGACAGAGATCGGATATCTTACATTCATAAGAGCCTGATGCTGCCGAGAGCTTTGGCACCCATTCTGGTTTGTATTCGATTTGCCATTTCACTGCTGCAATGTGTTGTCCGTTTTCGCTCCCCGGAGAAACGCTCTGTGCAACCTGGCTGTTTGCACAAGTGGAATCATTGAACTGAATCTCAATATCGGCCTCATAGATTATAATGGTCTCGCACATACCATTGTGGGGGATCTTTATGGACAAAGTCCCATTCATATTCGTAATGGCTGGCTTGGACACCTCGGTCGGGATGTGTTCAATATTCACGAGATCCATCAGCGAAAGAGAATCTGCACTTCTTCCCGCTAGCTCCTCAGCTGAATTCCATGGCATGCTTAACTTTGAAGATGGCGTCGGACTTGGGAGAGATATACGGTCTACCAATAGAGGGCTTCTATGGCCGCTTTGATCCTCGGTTGTCTCTAAATTCCAAGCGGAGATTCTATCAAATCGATTATCGATTGCCAAAGGTGCCTCGCTACCACTTCGTGAGCGATCGATGCGATCCTTCTTCGCCACTCCATTGTCGTTTCTGCATGATCTGCCTTGGAGCCACGAGGCTACAAAATCCGGCCGCCCTCCACGGTGGAAGAATATATCTGATTCCGGCTCTTCGCCAATATGAATTAGAAGATCAGTTTCTCTCTTTTGCCAAGATGCTTTGCCTTGAAATTGGTTCCCGTTAGCATTCCCATTCATATCTCGAAGTCATTAAACTTGGCCTACCTGTCGACACCGCTGTTCTATTCTTGAGGCCGACTTGGCTGGTAGGTGTACTTTGCAGTTGCTGAGTTCTTTCTTCATGCGACTTTCCCGGAGCTGAATTTGACATTCGCTCTCTATCGGCGACTCCTGGCGTTTGAATTGCCTTTGGCGAAGAAAAGCTCGATCCGCCTGCGAAGGTTGGCGATCTTGGACCGGCAACTTGAAGCGCCTGGATATCCTTGGCGTTGCATAATACTTCGCTGTCGGTCAGATTCGTTGCATCTGACGTGAGAGCTTCCAATTCGCTCATAAATCTGGGTTGAGTATGCGCTTCTCTGAGAGACTTACTCGCTTGGAAATCGGTTTCGACCTTTATCGGAATCCTGCTCTTTATTCCCCGTTTCGGGATATTAAGATCTGCCTTTCGTGGTGATAATGCCACTGTGAGTGATCTGTTAGAATCGACGATATCCCGATCGTTTGATCTACTTTGGGTCTTTGGCGCGCAGTGGATTATGGTAGTAGTGGATTCTTCCCGCTGATGGGAAGGATATCGCCGTCTCACCATACTCCCTGGTGTGAGATAGTTGGATTCCATATTCCAAAGATTGCCATGTTCGGGGTTACTCGTGCCGAATTGTCCAGAGTCAGCACGTCTCGATGCAGTGTCAGATTCGACGTAATATTCTAGAACTATAGGGACTTCCCCTTCTTCCAGAGCTTTACTCCGTTGACTCCCATCTGATATCCGCCTTGTCGCATCATGGCCGGGTTCAAAAATTGAGTCATCACTCCCACTAGTAGTGGATGGACTCGGCGGGAACAACCTTTCCTTTCTCGGGGAGGGAGACAGCTTCATTCCACTTGTATATAGCCGCCTGGGGAGGTTTTCCTGATGCCTAGGATAGGAACCTTGGATCTCGTCGACATCCTGTCCGCCAAGGGATAAGTGATTTCCGAAACTGCTGGCGGGCTCGAAATCCTTATATGCTGCGCTATAAACATACTCGTTCGTTATCTGTATTTCAAGGCCATCGTTCAGCTGGAAAATTGGAATGATGGCACTAGGACGAGCCTTCACCTATTGATAGAAGTTAGTCCCAACGAACGCATGAAGCAACAGGGCTGCGATAGCCAGGTCGTCAAACTAACCGTCATCACCAACCGCAGTGACACCTTATCATCCACATTTCTATTCCAAACACCACTCAAGTTGACAGACTCGATCAATGATATATCAGGTTTCTCTTCTGCCATGGTTCAATGAAACTCATTTACATATAACAGGAACGAGTACCCAAAGACGAGTCGGGATCACAGGCACACACAGCTCCACGAGATGGTGTGAATGGTCACCTTGCTCCCATGTGGCCGGTGAGTTGCAAAAACGTGGTGAATGTCGTGAACGCGATGTTGTGTCGACGTGACGGGTCAGCGCGCCCCCTTCTTGTTTACACGATGACCTAATACGGCAAGTACCGTGTGTTCAGACTCTTTTGACACTCTCCGGGGACAACACCGTGCACAGCTCCGAGAACAGGGCCATGCTCTCGCCGATAGACGCCATCATCCCGTTTATTGTCCTCGCGTTCATACCTGAAGGACTCGATCACCTTTAACTTCCTAAGTCCTCCTTGGTGCTTCAAGAGAGCAAGATTGATCTGGGCCGGATATCGGAACCGATGTCACTCTATCAATGACGAAATATAGACCGTGATACATATTGGAATTGTATAGGTTTTGGGAAGCCGTGCCTCATCACCAGCAGTCGATCAGAGATTCGTGCTTCTCATACTCGTGACAGCTGCAGATGGAGATATCACCTAAGCAAGAAGTAGGCTTTTTCTTAACGGCTTGTTATCATCAATAGGCTGCGATCGTATCTTAAGCGTTGGACGCTCCTCGGGAGTGGATCCTCCTTGTCTTAATTCACCTGGCCTCTGAAGCCAACCCGCTTCCTCCGCTTCAATACTTATGACAGCCGCAAGCAAGAGTTGGGGTTTCCACCAGAAGCTACTCGCCCGGGCAAGACATTTCTAATTCCATTTTGTAATGATGATGCTTATTCAAAGTCGAAAAATCTAGAAAGGTCGCGTTTTGATTAAAGATGGTCCTCGGGATACATCTACGTGGAGTAGCCAAGATCCCAGCCATTCGCAAGCCGGCACCTCTACGGAGTAGACATGGACTATATACATATTTTCTGAAAAGCTTCAGGGTACGCATTGCCAGGAGAGCTCAAAGTGGAGGGTGTTAATCATAGTGAAAAATTGGAAAAATGTTGGAGAATGGACGGGGCAGTGAAGGCACACACTGTTTGAATTGAAAGTTGCTTTTTGAGGTGGAGGGAATCGGCACAAGTAACCAGTTATGAGCTGGCTGATGGCTAGTTAATTAGTTTAACTACTCACTTCTCTGTACTCCGTACGGAGTACTCCGCAGGTAATGCCGGAATTGCAGACGCCATTCCGGCATTACGACGCAAAGAATTCATCTTCAGACCTCCAGCAACCCCAACCTACACATGAAGTAAACTCCTGCCTACATACTATTGTAATGTACCTAACATTTCAGGTCTCGTCCTCCACAGTGCCAAGGCTGGCTTTGTGGCATTCGTAAATTTTTGCCGCCAGGCGTCCGGCGGCCGAGAACCTTGGTTGGGGATAGGGCCGCGCCCGCCTGGGGAAGGACTGGCTCAAGCGCCTCGGATCCAAGAGACTACAGTAGGGTACACTAATAGGGAATATTTCGTTCGAAGTACGGAGTAGGGAGTGCAGCTTATTGCTTCGGGCTGGGGTTAAACCTGGGATGGGACAAGTTCCGCAGAAAAGCGGAACCACAGCGTCTTTACTCCCGATATTTGAAATCAATATCTAAGCAGCCAAAGACCAGGCCAATTTCCAAATTCACCCTCTGAGGGTCAGCCTGAGCTAGCGAAACATTTAAACACCTTCTTTCCTAGGAACTCCCCAGAATCGTCGCATCTTGAAATATTTGGGTCCCTGAGCAACATCGCGCAAGTCCTATAACTACCAGCCATTTACGCAATGATTCTCCCGGCCTCCCATCGTCCAACCCTCTCACGGGACCAGTTGCTCAGATACGTATCTTTTATTTACCAATGCGGCTCTTGCAGCGCAGAGTCGCAGCTCAGCGCCCTTGAAGATCTGATTCGAACCGATCCTCTCCGTGGCCTGACACAATTGCAGCAGCACCACCAAGCTTCGATACCGTTCAGCAATTTAATCCTTCACTACTCGCAGCACCATTCCATCTCCCTAGATCCAGACGTATTATTCCATAAACTTGTGGAGAGGGGATTGGGAGGGTATTGTGTAGAGAGCACGGGTTTCTTCTCAATAGTAATGAGAACATTGGGGTTCAAGCTCTATACCAGTGCGGGAAGGGTGAGCAAAGGCTTTGAGCAAGGGGTGGAGACGGGGGAGTATAATGGCTGGTAAGTTCTGTTCAGGTTCATTTTGCAATACCAAGGTGCAGTACAGGTTAACAGTCAGTAGGGGCCATATGGTTATAATTGTAACAATTGGAGAAAACAAATACGCTGTGGATGTCGCGTTCGGCCCGAACGGGCAGACTCGGCCTCTTTTACTCAGCCATGGCGCAACAAGCGTCCGAATAGCCCCGGCAGAAGCGAGACTGGTGAAGGAAAGCATATCCGCCAATACCGATAGCGAACAAAAGCCTTGGATATTTCAGATACGATCCAACGCCGAGGAGGCATGGCGGGCGGCATATTGCTTTTATGAAATAGAATTCCTGCCCAGTGATTACGAAGTGATGAATTTCTCAACAAGTCAAAGCCCAAGAAGTATATTTACAAAGACGGTGATTTGTGCGAAATTCCTCCTCAATGAGGCCAAGGACGATATTGTGGGAAACCTTTCCCTTGTAAAGGGAACTGTGAAGCGAAATCTGAACGGGGATGTGGAAATTCTTCAAACGCTGAAGAATGAGGCTGAAAGAGTTGATGCATTGAAAAGTTTCTTTAATGTACACCTCCAACCCCTAGAAGTCCGCGGCATTCATGGAAAGATCACGGAATTGAAAGACTTGACCGCGACGGCATTTTAAAAGGGATTTTGGAATTCGGGTCGGCAGCGGAGTTTCATATTGAAATGCGGGTTATCATAAGCAGCGTAATTGGATAACAGATCTAGCATATCCGTTTTTCCAGCTAATTTGCAAAAAATTCATTAGCTCGAGTGCTGATTGAATAGACCCGGTAGATATGCCAGTTACCTTCCATGGGTTATTCAATTCAAATCCACGGGGGGCTATGGGGTTATCCGTCTGCCCTCGGAGGGAACCCGTAAGCCGTAGGTCCCGTTCCATCACTGCGAATTGTCAGCCCGAGTTGTTTCGGAAAAGGCTCACGATGTCTACATACTTTGCTGTACGAATGTTAGCTAAGCTGATTCAGAGTGCTTCAAAGGTGTTTCCCCCGACTTACTCTGTCCCAAGCATCAATGCCGCGTCTGGGCCGCTTTCCATCATTTGCCCATCGTTTCACGAAAGATAAGCCCACGCCGGTCACGCCGAAGAACTAATTGGTAAGACTCCATTCAAAATTCACGCTGCAGTGTTTGGTACGTACGCCAACGATGATTCCGTAGGGAAGCAAAGCCTCAAAAGGCACACCCATTTTCGATTATCAGGTTAAACTGGTCTCGAGATTGTCGATGGACGTCGTCGCAATTCGGCCGGCCGGCGTTCGATTGGAGCTGCAGCGAGGGCAAGCGCCATACCCGTTAGGGACTAGCGGGGAAATAAATCTTGGCATTTGATCAGTCAGCCAAATTCAGATATGGCGGTTGACCTCACCCAAGTGACGGGGGGTGCGTGCAAGGGCCCTTTTGACGTGAAATGAGCGCTTTAACGGTTTCATTTGAAGCTATTTACGCGTAACGACGAATGCAGGTGTGAGTGTGATGATCTCTCTTCCCATGTTGTAGTTTGCATTGTCGCGTTTCCGCGGCGCGACCCCCTTCTCTCCAACAAGGTGACAATATTGACTGACCCATATCTCTCCGGCAGTGTGCTTCTATCGAGCGGAAGGAAATAGCTCTGGCTTCTAAAAATTCTACGAATTTACCCCGTATATCCTCTATTCCGATACGGCCTCGCATTGATTGCCCACTTCTTGGTTGAGCCTGTGACCACGCCGGGCCACCTGGAACCGACTCGCAAGAACCTGGGGGGAGTGGCTGTATCCCGATCTTTCACTTGGTATCGGTCTTCCGCCAGATGCTGGCGTTTTCTCAACCTGGCGACTGTGGTAGCTTCCGCCATGGCGGCAACCATGCCGGCCGAGTACGAAAATGCCACCGTGGAAGAGGATGAGAACATGGCAGACAGCGAGCAAGATGCTGAAGGAGAAGATGATGTGGATATGTACCATCCATTAACGGCGCCAGGTAATTTTGGTGGCAGTGAATATGTCGGTACACAGCATGGACTTGCCGAACTCAGCGCTGAACCGAACCATGTTAATACCGTGGAAGAGACCGCCCAGAAGGTCGAAAGGACTGGTGCATTGGATAGTGCAGATATAAATGAAAATAACGGCGATAACGAGCGTGTGCGACCGGTAAAGTATCTTCCTGTGGACTATAAATCTGAAAGCGATGCGGATGATGCGGGCGATGCGGACCCAAGCTTCATAAACGAAGAAAGTGAAAGCGCGAGAGATGTCGTTAGTAATCAATCTTCCGACGACGATTCAGAAGTCGATGAGGACTGGGAGGCCGAGAGTGATGACAGGGATTCTGCAGACGCTGAAGATTTGACGCTGAATAACTGCATGTGAGAACCCTACATTTTCGTGCCAAGAGAACCTTCGATTGCTGATTTGATTTTCCAGCGTTTGTGGTCAGGATGAAGAACATGACCCGAGCGAAGAGTTCGAGGAACCTTTGGTTTGTGCTGTCTGTGGAGATCACTGTAAGTTCGACAAGGGTGGCTTGGCAGGGGAACGCCAATGAGCTTAACTAAACACTCCCTAGGCCACCGGCAATGCGCGCGCGAACAGGAGTGTCTCAACGACGCCGACGGTAAGTTCCGACTTTGGTCCATTTAACTTTATCACAGGTAGAGTGTTAACCCATTTCGCAGATACCGACAAATGGAGATGTCCTTCATGCGTCCAAAACAAATTGGAAGCCGACCCCGGCGACCGTGTGGAAGCTCACAGGAGGTCAATTGTATCAAACATTGCGAAAGAATTACTTCCGGCGCACAGCGATGCACTTGGCCCAGATTCTCATTCCATATTCGACAACCCTATCCTTGATGATGATCCCCTCGATGGCTCTCGCTCTTTGAGGAAAAGGAAGGCTTCGATTGATGAAGTCGATAACAGCCGGCCACTCACCCGAAAACGACTGCGAAGGACCATTGATGATCAAACCGATGTTGCCCAGGCGAACGAGGATGCGGGTGATCGGGCTCCAGATAATTCAAATCCATCGAGCCGTCCATCTAGGCCTCGAAGGGCTAGGAGATCTCAAAATGGCCTCTGTAGCGTGGTCTTGAGGCAGCATGGCAGATTAGTTCTTTCGTTTCACTTGGATCGCGAGAAGTTAAGCAACGTTTTAAAATCCAGGCCCCGCTCGAGAACGCAAAGACGGAGACCACCAAAGCCACCGGTTATCCCGGAAGAACCTCCGCCTCCACAATTTCCACCGATTATTTCAACACCATATACGGCTCCTTTCTATTCGTTTCATGAAAAGGAAGATCATGAGCTCAATTCGAAACCCTACGGTGGCATATTGGCTGATGCCGATGCGGACACCTCCAAAACAGTGCCGCAGCAGAGCGACAGGGATAAATTCGAGGTCGCACGGCAAAAGGCCGAGGAAGAATGGAGACAAAAAATATTGGCTGCCGAGCAAAGCGGTGAAGGTTCGCCTCAGGCTTCGCAAAAGCTGTCTGGCCCTCCAAGTAAAATGAAATGCATTAATTTTGGTGGCTTCGAGATCGAGACATGGTACGCGGCGCCGTATCCCGAAGAGTATAGCCGCAATAGGGTCCTCTATATATGCGAATTTTGTCTCAAGTACATGAACTCCGACTTTGTGGCCTGGAGGCACAAGCTCAAATGCCCAGTAAAACATCCGCCTGGAGACGAAATATATCGCGATGGGACCATCTCAGTCTTCGAAGTCGATGGCCGGAAAAACCCTGTTTATTGTCAGAACCTTTGTTTGCTCGCCAAGCTGTTCCTTGGATCCAAAACGCTATATTATGATGTCGAACCTTTCCTATTTTACGTGATGACCGAGTATGATGAACTTGGTTTCCATTTTGTCGGCTATTTCAGCAAAGAAAAGCGGCCAAGCTCATCAAACAATGTCTCCTGTATACTGACGCTTCCAATTCACCAGAGGAAGGGTTATGGTAACCTCTTAATCGACTTTTCATACCTCCTTACCCGAATAGAGCGCAAGGTTGGATCTCCTGAAAAGCCACTCTCTGATATGGGGTTGGTTTCATATCGAAATTACTGGCACCTCGTGTTGTCATATCAGCTTCGCGATCAGAGAACTCCGACAAGTATCGGCGAACTTTCCGAGCGCACCGGAATGACTCCCGATGATGTTGTGTCCGGTCTAGAAGGATTGCGTGCACTCGTACGTGACCCTGTCACGAAGACCTACGCCCTACGTTTAAATTACACTTATTTTGAAGAAGTCATTCAGAATTGGGAGAAGAAAGGCTACGTTCAGTTAAACCCGGATGCTCTTGTATGGACGCCGTATGTTATGGGTCGTAGCAATCAGTCGCACTATGATCGTGCGCCTCTCCATGCTGTGGCGCCACGAGATGATCACGAAGAGGCCATTGATGATGGAGACATCAACCCATTCGAAAACGGCAATGGTCTATCGGGCCTCAACAAGCAATCAACCAACCACGATTGTGGTGCCACTAGCGGTCAAAACCATGTCGATTCTGTGCCTCAATTCGAAGCCCCAGGGCCGCCATCAATGGAAGTTATGTCATACGGTGGGCAATCGATGAAGCATAGTAATGGCTACAGCACCCCATCTGTAACCTCTACAATTCCATCCGCCAACATTCCACCAACGAGGTTCGAGATTTTCCCACCAATACAATCGGCTGCGGTCAAACGCCGTCCCGGTCGACCTTTTGGAAGCACCAAGAAGACGCGTCCTAATGCTACCAATGCATCCCCAGTTCGAACTAGTGGTCGCAATACTCCTAGAAAGAACTACAATCTCACTCTAGCTACCCCCACTCCGGCTGTACGCGCATCCCCTGGTCTCCGTAGAGGGCGCAGCAAGTTGCTTGACAATACCCTTCAGACCGATGGACCAGCTGATGAACCAGGATATGAATGTGTGGAACCTAGTAACGAAGACCAAGATGGGAGTAGATCAGGAGCGGCTGGTGTTGGCGATGAAGACACTCAGCTAAAGGTCAACGGTGAGATTCACTTTGATGGGGACAATGTCCAGGATGGTGCTCGAGACACAAATGAGTCGAAGAGTACAAATGGTAGTGTGGAAGCCTGCCAGGGTCCCGAAACAAACCTTGTAACCAGAGTCAAAGACCAGAGGGATAACGTTTCTGAACTCGAGTCAGGCGATGCAGCTCAACAACTGACTGCTGACATTTTGGCCGCCAGCAAGATACCTACTGGAAAGGACGGACATACCCAAAACCATCCTAGCCACGATGAGCGTGATACCTCTCAGAATGGTATCGGTGGAGAAAGGAATTTCGAAGCCGCACCCGTATCTGCATCCGCGGAAAGCTAGATACCCATAGTCTTAGATCAGAGTACGATTTCTTCGATATGATGATGCGAGATCCTATTTTATATTACCTTGGACGTTCGCTGGCAATGTATATTGTTTGGCCAGATATGACTTGTCATCTCGCGTTCATTGGTGTTTTGATACACATCCCGGCATCAGGCGCACTGAGGTGTTTGAACTTGGGTGGTCATCATGAAATTTCTTTCTTGAAAGTTCCATTTTTCATTATACCTTATTCACCCCGCTTCACAAGATACCAGGCTCAAACATGGAGTGCACTCAACGCGTCCCATTTTCTAAGTTGTTCCCCACCTTTTTCTCCCTTTTCATATTCTCCTCAATCAACTAAGCCAAGCACTTTTCATTGTCTACCAGAGATGTTTAGCCCTGACTCGTTTTCAACATGTACCAACATGCACCCTGATTCCCTTTACTCTCTATCTTAAGTATTAATATCTAGTAGCCTCTCGTCCCCACCCCTTCCTCTCTACCTGCTTTCTTGATCCGCTTTTAGGCACGATACACGGCTCAGGAAGCTGTACCTTTCAAGTCACATACGGAGTATCTGCCAAGAGACGAGAAAATCAAGCCATAGAATGAGAACCATCGAGAAGAACCTTTCCATCACTTGTAATAACCGCCAAAATGGCGAAATACGCGAAAAAAAAAAAAAAAAAATATCATTGTTGAGCACATCTGTATTTGTGAAAACTTGCCTAGGACATATTATGTCCATTAATACTACAGCCTACATATTGGTCTGTAAGGAATAGCCTAATTGTTATGTCGCGTCAATTGCTTAAGCTTTGTTCCTGCAGGAGACAATGTCATTGTGGCAAATCCACCTTGTCGCGAGTGG